CAGTGGGGCACTGCAGCGTGCAGTGGGGCACTGCAGCGTGCAGTGGGGCACTGCAGCGTGCAGTAGGACACTGCAGCGTGCAGTGGGGCACTGCATGCACTTTACCTACACCGTGCAGTGCGCTTGTGCACAGCTCCGAAGCGCAGAATGCAGATTATGTGCGATGACAAAAAAAACTGCGATGTGAAACAATATTGCGCGCATGCATGAGCTAGAACGTACACGCTTCGATGGCCTAAACATTTGCATAACAAAAAGTTATCATTTATAAAGTTCAGCGCATACTATTTTGTCTAATAATTGCAGGTTTCAGAATATAATGAAATCTTCAACTATTCTTCCATTATCCATCATTTTAGTCACGACGTGCATGTTCTGCTTTATTAAAATTTTGAAGACAGAGATTAAATTGTTTAAACGTTTTTCAGCGCTTAGCCGTTGCACATTCATTGGCTTTAATTCTAGTCTACTGCTAGACCTAGCAGCGTGCAGTACCCTACTTCTAGTTTACTAGCTAGAACATAGGTGTTCTCATTCTATACTCCGCCAGGGGGCGTTCTTTCATTAAAATCATAGGAGATCATTAAATCTCTAATTAAAATCTCCCCAACTTGGGCTGTCTACAAGTATATATGTTGCTTGACGCTCTCGCCTGCGTGAGTTCCCTCAACTATTCTCATAAATATCAAAAATTTAGAAGTAAACTAATGAGACATCTAAAGGCAAATGAAAATTTGTATCGATTGACAAGCATTAAATACGCATGATACCAAAGTTGATTTATATTTTATAGTATTTTTTCATGTTATGCGGGTGCGGAAGCCACTAGACGTTTTATTTTCATTGTGGTACAATAATTATTCTTGATGGAGATTGAAATAAATGAAAATTTTTGTAGAATGTTTTTCATTTGTCAGTTTTAGTACCACTTGCAACATGGACATGATTCTTTGAGTGTTGTTCTGAAATCTAGCGTATGTGTCCATGAGTGCAAGTTCGCATAGCTCATTATATCGTGACTATAATTTAGAATATTTAGCATCATTAAGTGGCCTTATATGGTTTCAGCTGTCACTTGAAAGCTTATTAAAAGATTGGGGTTTCTAGGACTTGTGATTTATGCAATATAAATGAATGTTAACCTTATTAGAGACCTATGCTAATTGCCTAAGAATCTTGACGCTTCAAGCTATTCAATTTCTTCATGTGTGCAAGCAAAAACGTGTAGCTAGTAAAATAATATGCATGGCAAGCTTAATAATTCTGGAAATTTTAAAATCATGAACACTACTGGCGGAAGCTTACAAATGGCAAATCACCCTTTATCGAAATCCGTTTCTTTGTAAATAACTCGTTGTTATATGTTAATAAAATTCAACATGGAAAACATCTTATGTACATAATAATGTACATGTAGGAGAAACTTTCACACCGCGGCGCGCGGCCGAGCAGCTTCCGACAGGATAAGGAGGGAGCGGCGAGCCCGGTCAAATATAAAACAGCTTGCAAGGGTGGAATAAAATTCCTTTTAAATTATTTGTTTCTTCGTAGGCCTAGACATTCGTTTTCTGTGCGGCCTGGCTTAAGGGGGAACTGTGGCGCTGGGATGAGTTTGTAGTGCACTGCATATTGGCATTACTGTCAATACGGTGCAGTGCATACTGCACTGCAGCTTTACCTATATATTACCGCGCGTACGGTGCAGTGCATACTGGCATTAAAATCAGTAAGGCGCAGTGCATATACTGGCATTACCATTTGTACGGTGCACTGCATATAGGCATTGCCGTGCGTACGGTGCACTGCATCTTGACATTACCGTGCGTACGGTGCACTGCATCTTGGCATTACCGTGCGTACGGTGCACTGCATCTTGGCATTGCCATGCGTACGGTGCACTGCATCTAGGCATTACCGTGCGTACAGTGCACTGTATCTTGGCATTACCGTGCGTACGGTGCACTACATCTTGGCATTACCGTGCGTACAGTGCACTGTATCTTGGCATTACCATGCGTACGGTGCACTGCATCTTGGCATTACCATGCGTACGGTGCACTGCATCTTGGCATTACCATGCGTACGGTGCACTGCATCTTGGCATTACCGTTCGTACAGTACACTGTGCATTGACGTTACAGGTTGACGTCAATATGTAGCAACAGCAGCAAAGGTGTGCGCATAATCATTACAGAGGTGTTCAATTTACAGGTGTTCGGATATCGTGTATTATACCGGCACTTCTCCATACCATCTGGAGAAGTATCGTTTTAAAAAACTTACTAGTTGTAATTTTTATCCATTAAGTTACTTTTGATGCGTGGACGGTTCTTCACCGCAGTGATTGCCCAAGTCTTCCATTGCGACAGATTATTGTCATATTGTTATGTTTTCTTTAATTTTCTAACTAATCAAACCTAAATAATGGAAATATATTTTGCATTTTCAACAGGTTCCTTTTACTTAATTTTCAATAAAAAATGACTAACATTATGTGAACCAAACCCGTGTGATTGAACTGCGTTGATAAGCACTCCTTTCATTAAATATGGAAAATGGATGATAAGAAGTGGAAAATATTTTGTGTTTTACTTTTTAGTTCGTGCGAATCAGTGCATCTTTTTTTTATTTTATTTTAATTTGAAGCCTCTCGATATAATGCTACCGGCCAATAATCTACGTTTCTATTAGGCACATAAAAATTTTCAATTAATAAATAGAGTTGAAACATCGCCGGGCACTCGGCATGCCGTCGCAAAACGCATGTCAAGTCCAGCCTCCGCCATACCGACGCCTGCTGGACCGCTCGCATGTAAGTATACATAAGTTATACCATTCAATGTCATCTAAATTTAAATGGAGTCGTATAATCGAACCGAGGGAAATGTCGTGTTACATGTTCGTAACGAATTTCTCATACATCCCATAATATGTTAGCCGTCATGTAAACATGCAAATATAATGTGAGGCATGTAAAATAATGTGAGATGTTGTGTAATGTTTAAAGCGTTGTTCTGAAATGATGTGAACACTAGCCTTGCCTTTATCATCGGTTAGAGACGTTTTATCGCCCTCACTACAAAAAAAAATATTTGCATTTATTTTGGCATTGTTGGCATATAGCAGCGTCTTAATACATTTGTGTACAGATTAGTAAATTAGGTAAGTAAATTAGGTAATTTCGTATGCATGAACAAAATCTACTAAATCTTATGAAGCGTGAATGCGAGTAGTTTAGGGGGTCGTTATCGGGCGCTGCCTTGTGGTGCTCTCCCAATATTATGTCAATTTAGCAAGAATATTAACTCAATATCAAAATAAAATGGTTTAAGGCTGCAATGCAATACATGGCGCCGAGCAGTTTTTTCAGTTGGCGCAGTTTTTTCATTATTGGCTACAAAATCGATTGCAGCGCCGGTAGGATTTTTTCTAGGGAGCGTCCAACATCCTACCCCTTGCGTCCTCCAGCGACTACTGGCTGTCCCGACAAGCTTCCGCGGTCCTTCTGTTCCGGACCAAAAAAAATATATATTTCTAAATTCAATAGCATATATCATATAATTTTTTAAAACATTCTTCGACAACGTAACAACAAGAATGCGTGGTCAGTCGTGTGGGCGCATGTTTAGATTGGACTTTGTTGTTGATATCATGAAGGTAGATAAGTCAAGATAAAATCTATTTAAGTTTAGAGCAACGTTATAATATTAAAGCAGATGACTCCCGCCCAAAGACGCTTCTTATAGCACCCAAGGAAGAGGGAGGGGGGGGCGGCAACCCAAGCAGACCTAAGAAGCCGCGCTAAAAAAATATTTCAGAATCGACGGCAGCCACCGCAGTTTGAAACTCTAGTTGACGCTCCGTTTCTAACTCAGCTTCATTGGTGAAGCATTGAAGCTACTAATAAAGCGTTTCCATGTATATCTTCTTGTGGTAAATCGCAATTTTCTGATATTTTCTCGAGTTTTGTTCGCAATTATCCGAGCACTGAATCCGGTTATGAAAATGTATCAGATCTACACTGAATTTAAATTTAGAAGTTTCCTCTATCTATTTATAACGCAGTCGCAGGTAACTAATAATTGCATGTTTATCAATCTGTTAATTTTGTGTGTAAGCTTTGTGATTTAATTTTTAGATTGTTTGAATGTTACCAATTTGACATCTTGTTAAACATACACGAGACATCACAGCCAGGCTAGCGGGTGTCTCTGAAATGTGGCCGCCGTAGCCCGTAGAGTTGCTCGCTAGTTGCTGAGCCGCTACGTAGAGTTGCTGAGCCGCTACTGAGCGGCTATTGTTCATGCGCGAGCAACAAGGAAAAGTCGATAAGAATAGAAATATTATAATATTTATTTGAAATTGTAAATTATTAATTTGAATAGGTATGTCTTATGAATTTTTTATTATTATTAGCACGATTTGGTGGATGTAGCATTATCTACTTCCTTGCTGCATGCTTCCTAAAAATAAGACGGATGCTAACGGCATTTCATTCTCAGCGGAATTTTTTTTACATCTTTATACCTCATGCTTCTGTTGGTTCGGGAAATGGAAAATAAATCTGCAGTCAAAATTTTGTAATTTCCTGCTAGATTTTTGACCATATGACGACTTAAACTCCTAATATATTTACGAGTATTACTTTTTAAAATTAATTTTATATGAACAGTAATTTGTTTCGCTTTCTCTACCGTGATGACAGAAAATTAGTTGTAATGTTCTACTAGTGCAAGATAAACTCTGAATTTTTGTATTAATTCAATCTTTTCATTCAGTCCCGTCATTGCAAGATTATTGATGAAAATTTGTTAAGCCGGTCCCCAAAACAGGGCAGGTCAGCCTTTTGGAAAGCATTCTTTTTTTTTAAAGCCTCCTAATTTTTCGATGTTAGCACAAAAGGATTTAAGTAACGCACACCATGCTTTATCGGAATTTATTCAGTGCGCTATATCCTGGAGATATGGCATCAATAAAAAGTAAAAAAAAGCTAAGGGACAAAAGTTTCAAATTATTAGGCATGCTTTATTTCGTGTCATAAATTTTATATTGCTTATGCTCGTTCCATATAGCTTATGCTCCTATCATACTTTGCCGTCAAACGTTTCGTTTCTTTGTTAAATTTCAAAATGTAAAATGACTCCAATTAACTTAATTTTAATCAATTTAATTAATCCTATCAAACGTATATGCAATATTTATCTCTATTTGCATCATATTCAAACAGATCAATATTTGGAATATATGTTCAGATTTTTACCGCTGTATATGAGAGCCTCAGAAGCAGCAACCAACGCCATCTGCCACCTACCCCGAGGCTGGTCTTCTTTTATTACTTTTAATTTATAAGCTCGTCATCTTAGGTTGGTTTTAATGGAGGCAACGATATGAGCGACGGGCGAGCGCGTAACAAATGATGAACCTCTGATTATTGCCTGATTGATCACATGGATAATCTCATGCATATTCACCTTGATCGTTGTAATGGTCACATCGATCCTACCACGTCACCGGGTCAGCAGTTATCAGGATACTCGTTCCTGCGAGGCCTTTCCCTTCCACAGTTTTATTGGACTTTTCGGATTAATATCTTTTTTACTCCATTTATATTGATCTAGTCTGGTATTTCTTCATTCTTTTTTTTTTACACCTTTTATATTGATCTAGTCTGATATTTTAAACCATATTCACATTATTACCTAACCATTATCAAACTTTTTAGTTACTTTTTCACAGCTATGTAAAAAGTATCTTCATATTTTTTCTTCGTTATCATCATTTGATAACTTGCATTGAACTCTGGTATTACAATTAAACAAGTGACTGTCGCTGCATCCTTCCTTGCGCGGTAAACAAGCGACTGTCGCTGCACAGTTTACTTCCGCTGTCGTTTTTCATGTTTTATCCGAGAAAATTTTGTACAATAGCCAATAACTCTCGCAGTACGTGTACCCACCCATATACGTACTGCACTGCTCACATGAGTCACGTGGACCCATATACTGCACAGCTCACATGAGTCACGTGGACCCATATACTCCAAAGCTCACATGAGTCACGTGGACCCATATACTGCACAGCTCACATGAGTCACGTGGACCCATATACTGCACAGCTCACATGAGTATGGTTATTATTATGGTAATTATGGCACGGGCTGGAAGAGTTTAGCTCACGAATTACCATATATTTTTTCACGCGCGTCGGACAGGAAGATTGTGTCTATCATCAACTTCTTTTTATGGGCAATGATGATTTTTAACTTCCTATTTTCTGCCTTTCCATTTTTCATCAAACAGAAAAAAGGCATATGTTATCGTTGAGAATGAGTTAGGTCTAAATACTATGCGTTTGAAAACTACCATATAAATTACTTTCCAGTGTTTCCAATGTTGACAGATTAATTCACAAACATGTACAATGAATTTATTATTTTATTTTCAATTATTAAAAAAAAATATTTATCAAAAATTTTTTAATATTTCATAAAAAAAATATTTATCAAAAATTTTTTAATAATTCATACAAATTTTTTTGTATTTTAAAAATTATTTCTTCTGTCAATTGATTCAAGCATTGTCTCCGCATTTACGCAAGTGTGCAAAATTTCAGATCGATTGGACAAGTAGAAGTGTGTTAAATATTGATTATAAAATTTTTAGCAGATAAACAACAAGAAGTTAAGTTAAAGAGAAGTGTTGTAAAAATGTATAGAAGCAGTATCATATTCATGCCACAGCTGGGATAGTAGTTTTATTGGGACATTCAAAATGGCACATAATGTGACCGTTGAATGTTATCATATGTAAACCTCACGGCGTTAAACCTGAGATTAAAATCAGTTGCGAGCGGAATGAACTATTCGTTAATGTCAATTAATAATTTAACCCAAGACGATGACTACTATTAATCATACCACAAGTATAATCATAATAGGTGTGCATTACCAAACGAGGAAAACATACAAATAATTCACCTATTTCACAATTATTTGCCTGGAAATAGGCGACGAAAAATGTCCATCGACCGCCACGCGTCCGCCCCTCCGGCGCCCCAGCTGGACATCGGCCAACGCAGCTAAAATACACGAACTGCTAATAAAAATTAAAATAAAACCCCCAAAAACAAACACAAAACTCGGCCCAGTTCTTGTTCCCGCGGCGTTCCTAAATCTTAGAAGACTTCGAGAGACTTAACGTAGGTGTCCTAGAATAAGTTTATTTTAAATAAGTGTGTGCAGTCGCTGGATAGTTCTTATATGTACCTCCAAGTATGTGTTTTTTGACAGTTTGGTTAAGCACTTACAAATACTCACATGATTGGAAAAGAGAATTTAATGTGTTTCTGAATGTGTATCATCATGAATGCCATTTTGGCGGTTAGATAATAATATTCTTTTGCTTCAATCGATTATTTTGACATGATATCACTCCGGAATAATGGCGTAGTGCGAAAATCAACGACTTGAAGTATATAATAAAGCGCAGCATATGGGAGCCGCATCGCTCTGACCTGCCGAGGCCAGGTTGGACTAATTCGTTCACTTGTCATTATGTTATTCCTACCGAGATTGTGATATCATTCAGTGATGGATGTTTCATGGCATTATGCTATTCCTACCAAAATTGTGACACTAATGTCTGGGTGAAGACAGTGATGTTCTCAGCCTAAATTATATAGCCTCACGCTTATGACTTTCACTGCACAATCTTGAATGCATCCGCTGCCTCCAGTCATTCGGATTTTATCTGTCAAATGACCTATACTTTAGAGGTGCTAAGTACCTCGTAGTACCTCTAAGTACCATGCTAAGTACCTCATTGGTTCACCGCGCTCTTACAAATTAGTCTTTTGTCAGCTGTGAACGGCACCGAAGACCGCCGATTCAACTTTTTTTTAAAGCATCATCTTCTTGGTTTTCCTGCAAAATGTGATGACTATCAGTAGCTCCAGGAAACTTTTGTGATGGAATAGACGCGAGGCTGGGTTTCGGAGCATAAATATTGTCGATAACAATCAATGACGATGTTATCGTGATCAATCGGTCATCGCTGGGCTGTCGGTAATGACAGCTTCGCCTTTGATGTGACCGCACCATCTTCATTTGTAAGCTTTAAACTTCGCACAAAATACAATTCAAATGATTGGTCTTACTCCTGTGTTTGAACACTCCATATGGCTATGGTTACTATTAAGAGTAGTGTTACGGTGTAACGCATTTCTTTAGAAATTATTTGCCCATTTAATAAATTTTGGTAAATTCAAACATCGAGTGATGGGCTCGCGAGACACCCGCTGTGTCTCTCACACATGCGCCACGAGACACCCGCTGTGTCTCTCACACATGCACCACGAGACACCCGCTGTGTCTCGCACACATGCACCACGAGACACCCGCTGTGTCTCGCACACATGCACCACGAGACACCCGCTGTCATGCACCACGAGACCGCGCTGTGTCTCGCAGCGTTCAGTGCAACCCTTCATTATTCGGTTGATAGATCGCGTTCAGTGGTAGGAAGAGGCTCAAAAAAGTCTATTTTCCGAAGCCAGCACAAAGATGACGCTAAATGCTGAGGCAATTAGACCTAAAAAGCTACTCAGGATGCCATGCATCCAAAACCGGAAGGAACAACGTAAGAAATTCAACAGGGGAGCCAAGTGAGCATTCGAAAGCGATGAGTGGCATGAACGAGTGCATGCTCGCTAATCATTCTCATCCCTTCAGAATATATAGAGAATATTTTTCCACTAATTATATATTATGAAAAATCATATACGCATCAAAAATTTCCTAAAAAATGTGCTAAATATGCTAAAGCTGTATTCATAACAACAGGTACGGTACTTAGTTGTAAATACGCGTAGAAAAATGATAGAAATGTATAGCGCACATTACATCATAAATTTTGCTTCGAAATTATCTTGGTGAGTTTACGTGCAATCCAAACGAAGGTGTAGCTATCTAGTACATTTCTAATTTGAGCTCGGACAATCATAATTATTTGGGAACGAATATTTGTCCAACTGTAATAGTATTAATAATCATTTGAAGCGTGACCCGACGTGATATTATAACTTTATGCCTCCTTCCGTACTATTTTTTTTATTTCTGAGTCGAGAAGATGAGAACTAACAATTTTTAAACACTCTGGATATGCCATATGTCAAATACTGATCAGGTCACGCAGCTGAAAATCAATATGTATAATTTCCGGCAAATGATAAAAAAATCTAATAACTTTCATCCTGAGGAAGAACATGTATCATTTGCCTCATTACAATTGAGTGACAGAGATACGGCACTGTATTGCACAACATGGCATGCGTTATACGACAACATGGCATGCGTACCACGGCGTAACTAATCGATAATTATCAATTTACTCTACAGAAATGCGCTCATGGTGATGCCTTAAAATGATGAACGCTGTTTAGGATGCGTCATGATGACCGGGCATCACAATCGAACGATCGCGTGATCTTTGACATGATCGAGTCGATCAACAATCGGAAATTTTCACTGAACAAACACAAAGGCGGTGGCAGGAGCTGGCGAGAATTAAAACCATACACGTGAAAAAATCTTCCGCAGGGAAGCGGGTAAAAAGCGTGGCAGGAAGGATATGTCTTGTAAAAACTCTGCGGCCGTCACTTTGATATGCAATTATGGCGTCAACAACGAGTGTTAGGAACGCTTTCCTTGAACACACTACATCCGCGCGGCAACTTTTCCATTTAAAATCGTAGACATTATATACGGCCTCCGTAACATCCAAAGTCGGCCGTCTGTGGTTTCACGTCAAGGGAAAACTATCAACGTAACCGAGGGTGGGATGAAACTGGATACAATGAAGGGACGCGTGTAATAGCTTTATATGCTTAGACGCGCCGGCCGGGCTAATGACTGCGTGAAGCTGCTCCCGCGCTCTGCAGTTAGATGGGCATGGAAAGATTATTTGTCAAGATCCTTGGCGCTGTTGCGACTTAATAGACGGAATACATTACTTCAATTCATATTAATTTGGCCCTTCACTATTTTTAAGGCATTTTTGCCATTGATTGAAGAAATACTGCGGTAATTAATGAACATTAATTAACTTTTGTCATTCAACTAAGTTTTGCGACGTATCGCATGGCGAGAAATGTCGGATATGGAAGAGATGACACTGATGAATATAGCTGAAACTTCCCTTTTCTTTTTATATTAAAACTTTCACAGTCAAGCAATGATTTTTTAGTAGTTACACTTGAGGGCTGACTGATTCGACGTATGTTAGTAGGCTTCACTTGATTAACTTTTAGGGAATATATGTATAAATATTATGTTCGATGAACGTATGTTAAAGATATTTTTTCTTGCAGGTATGTAGGATGAACGACAGACGTGGCACCTTCCTTGACCTGCTCCAGGTATGTTAATAAGAAAAGTGAGTTGAGCAATGGGCTAAAAACGGAATAGTATTGTACATGTGTAGGTTCACAATTTAAACAATTTCACATCAGTTGTATGATGAAGAACAAAATATTTGAATAAAATGCATTGAAAATATGACGAAATTTTTCAATTAATTTGGCTTCTTTTAATTTGTTTTCGAACAATCCTAAATAAGTCGTATACGTTATTGTTTGATGATTCTGTGCTGCTACCGAATTTATCGCAAATTAGCTCCGACACATGTTAATGCCAAAACAGTTAGTGGTTTTTCAGTTTTACCTCTGCCTCATTAATTACGACTGCCATTGTGTATCATAGACTGGAATTAAATAGCGAAATTTGACCAATTCCTCAAGCCAGCCGTCAAGCGAGACTACGAAATCGTTGCAATCAGTATTGCTATGTTGATCTCCAAACTCGCACCGTGTGCCTCCTCAACTTGTCTCATGTTTTACAAAGATCGTGAGCATCAAGTCCACAGGTAAACAAACTTTTTAACGTAATTTTTGTCTTCCTCGCTCAAGCCAGTACTTACATCATGAATCTGATACCGTCTAATTGTGCCTTCCACGGCACACGAATATGTCCTACCTTGTCCCGGCGCTGGAAAATACATCCACATGACCCCCAACACAAAACTCCCATACACTCACACAACACCCACACGCCCACACAACACCCACACAAAACCCATACAAAATCGACCCATACCATGCAACAACCGAGAAAGACACACAATGCTGATGTGGTTGGTCGCCATACAATGCCCTACTCAATCGGTGTAAACTTTACATTGTCATACAAAATATCACGGCAGCCGCTGTGAAATGCGTCGTTTTCGAGTATAGTTTATCTTTTAGATATGAAAGCTCGATTCTGACGTCTGCTTCTCTCGGTGTCCTCGCCCAATTCTTTCCTGGCTGATGGGCGATCATATTAAATTTTATGCTGTTCCTTGGCGTAGCATTCACGCGTTTTATTAGCCAATGATGTATCACTAGTTTTTCGTGCAAGGTTCGTTTAAATTGTGCTTACGGTGCCTCGGTAATTATGCTTTCAATTTGAGTCAACTTCGAAGCCGAACATGAGACCGGCATTCAGGAACAGACGACATATTAGAATTTCGAAACCTATAGCAAAATAATATAACAGAGAAATGGCGAAAATATAATAATTATTATTTTACTGTCAAGTCATTTCAGACCAGATGCTTGCGTTTCAATACATTGTTTATGTTACGACCACACGGCAAAACGGCAGTTCGCACGGCGCTCTGCATGAGAAGTACGAGAGGAATAATAATTGTTTGCTACCGAATTTCAAGTTATTGCTGGAAACAATAGATGAAAGCTAGAGAAGATCTATATTATCGTGTCACTGGTTTGGCTGTAGTACATATCACATGTATGCTGTACCTGTGTTTGATCACTTCATGAAATAACTCTTTGATCACTTTAAGACCATAAAGACTGTTTAGAAAGAAACTTTATTATTATTTTCTTTAATTGTGGTTCAAAAATGTGATCATTATCGTTGACTTTATTTCATAGTACTTTATTTATTCATTGAATCATTGTATAAAATTTATTTATTTATTCGATATATGTGACCTTGCTGACCGAGAAGCTCTCTCCAGACCGCTGCGAGTAATTATCCCAGTACACCTGCACGCTGCATATTATCTGATATTTCTTGTTCATTGAATGGACTGTTTGGAAATTACAGTTTTGTTCATTGATAGCTCATATGAATAAATCACTGAAATATCAGGCCAGTCATAATAAAACATGTGATCCAGATATGTATCATCCAGCAACTCTTCTTCCTGTTACGCTTCATTTACAAGATTTTTATAACGCTTGTTCATTTGATTTGTAAATGAAACTCGGCACGACAGCGCTTCCCAAACCCGTACCAGCACTTTTTAGACTTAAATAATGTGCATGACCCAAATTATTTTTCATTGGGACTGGATCAGGTCTTTTCATCGGTTTAGTTGTGCAATTTTTGTTAGAAAAATCAATAAATTTTCGTACTGATCGGCTGAAAACGGACAGAGTTTGAGGCCGACGTGCTAACTACGGTGCAACCCCATACAGCATTTATCCGCCTGTAAATTTTACTAAAAGTTCTCCTAATTAAGATAGATTCTGGGATCTCCTGACAGTCTCGTTATTACTCGCTTTAGAGGCAGCTTTTGGGAGTCATTTTAAGCTTTTTACTTGTGTTAAGGCGAGCACAACCTTTGGCTCTGCTCAGAGACGGACTACAGGCCGGGTCTGACTGATGCAATAATGTGCCTCGAGGGAGGCCAAGCCGTGTGATGGAGCGTGGGAAAGCCTGCATTATGCCTACACAAAAGGCTTAAACTCTTCAGGAATTTACACGCAGATCAAATTGAAACTTTCGACTGGGTTGATTATATCACCCAATGCTTCTAACTATGTGTATTAGAAATACGTCACAGCTCGTAAAATATGGTCTCAGTTAAATTGCTTCAGGTGATAAGAAAATCAATTTAATTTATGGAGCTAGTTTCATGTAATGATGTATTTCAATTTCCATGAAGCACGATGACAGCGTGTGATTGGCCCCGAGGAATTTTTTTTACGATCCCCAATGCTTACGAAGGCTAACTACGGAACATTAAATGCACTGTTTCATTTTCGTTTGCGAAGGATTTGAATGCACGATTTTTCGTTCAAATTTTTTGTAAAATCATGTATTCAAGTTTTTCACAGACGAACATACGTAACCGTTTAAGATATTTCCTTCTCTTGAGGGCCAGCGCCAAACTTAAGCTCAATAAGCTTACTAAATCAACTAGAGATAAATCGTACATGACAAGCTTGCTTCGGATACAAAAGGTATTGGAGAATTAAGTGTTCTACATGCACTTTCCGTATAAGTTTTAGCTTTGCAGCGTTGGTGGCAACGATTATAAAAGTTGAACCATTTTTGCACTGCTCTGAGCTCCATACTGGGCTACACTCTACAGGAGAATTGCAGATTGTGGTAGATTCCAATTTTTAATGATGCTGTATCCCGTATTTGAATAACGTATAGCAGTTCCTGGGTACATTTTTTAGCATTATTAAATAAACAGGTGCCGTATTTAAAGCCTAATTTATTGTAGTCTTCTCACCGTTGCCACATAAGATTCGGAGCCATGTTAAGAAATATATGGAAGTAATGGAACCAAAACTTGGATATTTGTTATGGTCCCGGTAATTAAAATGGTTTGCCTTCAAAGTCTGACCTGCAACACAGAAAACGTTTCTTCACTTATGGGGCAAACTATCGTCGTGGCCAGTTGTGATTGGTCGTTGTTGTTTACAAAAATTGCATTGGTGCTTAAACACGTTTAAACATCAACTACGTCAAACAAGCTTGTTAAGAATCAATAATATGTTTAATTATGTAACTCGTGTAAAGCTTTTTTTGGAAATTGTGCTGTTTGATGCCTAGTGGTCTTACTGCAAGTCATTACTGTTTCGCAGCGAATGTCGGTTAGTCTCGAATGTCAGACTGATTATTTCAGAAATAAATTATTTTATTTTTAAAATTCATGTGATAAATAACTATTGGAACTTATTCGTATCTCTAAATCATTGGAAGTTGTTCAATAGAATCAGTGATTTCGCTTAGCATGCCCGTTAATCTTTAAGATGGCGCCTTGCAAATTCTGGCCCGCTGAGCTGCCTCCAAAGCCTTGATCAATGCTAAGAAATTGCCAGTTTGTAGCGCATTGATAATGTCTATGGCTTGAAGTTTCAGTATGTGTGTAGAGAATTTAAAAGACATCAACTATGCTCTCTATTTTTGCTCATTTTAGTACCATTAATTGTATGGCCACACGAGACCAGCTTTCAGATCCCGAAGAGACAAGTCAAGAACATTACAAGCATAAGCGGTAGGCCAAACTCGGCCTATTCTTTGACAAAAATAAAGCTATATTATAATATACGGTTATATACCTTACTTTTTTGGTGGCTTTTAACACATTTAATACCTCACATGAAAGGTTCATTTTATTTTTAGTTTATCACTTGCATTACGTACTTTTTTGTTGTTAGATGTAACGTTTATACTGATATTTAAATCGTTGTTAAATTTATTGTATTTGCAATGATTATTTTTTATTCCTCGCTCGTCGTTCCAGTCGCTTCCTCCATTGACCACTCTTCCTCTCCTCCTTGTCCTCTTCTCTCTCTTTATCTTCCTTTCCTCTCTTCCTCCGTGTCTTTTTCTCTCTCTTCATCTTCCCTTCCTCTCCTCCTCCTTGTCTTTTTCTCTCTCCTCATCTTCCCTTCCTCTCTTCCTCCTTGTCTTTTTCTCTCTCCTCATCTTCCCTTCCTCTCCTCCTCCTTGTCTTTTTCTCTCTCCTCACCTTCCCTTCCTCTCCTCCTCCTTGTCTTTTTCTCTCTCCTCATCTTCCCTTCCTCTCTTCCTCCTTATCCTCCTCTCTCCTCATCTTCCCTTCCTCTCCTCCTCCTTGTAGACGGAACATAGGGTCCGTCCTTGTAACCCTTTTTTTCAAGCTTAAAATCTACATTCAATAAAATGTAATTCTTCCCAATCTTAATGAATAAAATTTAATTACGAATAATATTTTGTGGGTTTTAACTTATTGGGAATTTATCTCCGGTGTGAACTGAGAAGCCACAATATCGCGTATTTTTACGATCCACAGGCGCAGGTGCGTCAAAATTTATTTTTTTTTTGTATTTGCAATATATTTTCTGTACACGCTCGATAGGAGCTCATACATGTTAACTTTCGAAATACATGAAACACAAGCGGTTGAAGGGCAGGGTATTTGTTATATGCTTTATGGGGTTAAAAAATAAGGATTTCTGAGTTAGCAATTTTCAGGACAGTGATTTTCTGAGGAGCGTCTCCTTGTGAGGTGAATTTGACACCACACTTTCTTGGGCTCACAAAGCGCCGCTTGTGAGGGAGCTCAATGAAGTCG